AAAAAAAAAAAAAAAAAACAAACTACCGCGTTACGACTATATGTATGCGTATTATTATTATTAATGTGGTAAATCGCACGGGATTTTATGCAATACCCGCCTCCCGCGTCCCCTCTCCATCAGGCGAATGCACGTTATTATATTATCGTGCACGATGTCGGGCTGGTAGAATAACGATGGGGGGGGATGCGGCATTGTGAAACCAATTTTACGGTTTGAGGATAAATACGCGCCGCGCGACGGTCTGTAAAAGGATAGAACGTTACCTCCTCGCAGACATGTGGACACATAATACGTATTGTTTTATACATTATGCGTAATAATGTATTGTATTATTGTGTATACACGTTTATGGCCGGTTGGTTTGGTTATTAGATCCGAGAAAAACCGATGAAAAACGATTAAATTTTATACTTTTTCTCCCGTTTTCTTATCGCCCGCCACCTACCGTCGAGTCTGAAATTAAAAAAAAAAAAAATTACTTGTATAAATTTTTTTTAGACGCGGTTCAAACCATTCCGATGACCTTCGAGTCATTTATAGGCATTTGACAGAAGGAGTTTATGTACGAGTTCTGATTTGGTTCTACGGAAATACCCGGGAGTTTAACGCGGGATTCGTTATGCGTTACGCCGATTGGTGTCGTCAATGATCCCGCAGCTCTAAATAATATTATTCGACTCGCATTCGTGTCCGTCGCATTGTTATATCATATCACGTGACCGAAATAAATTCCCGACGGTTTTTCCGAAAAAACTAAAAAACCGACAATGAACAGTGTGGATATATTCAATTTTACTGTCGTCGGTTTCTGGGTTGCCCCGTCGACAGCGAAGGGGCGAAACACGGCTGTTACCGGTTCACCGTCAAAATCGTCGTTTGATCGGAACGGACGAAAAAACCGAATCGCCCGTGAACGTTACCCATATTGTTTTCCCGACTTTCCGTGGTTAGCCGCGGTGCGCGGAGGCACGCCCCGCCACGTAATTACAAAATTCAATCCGCTGTATTCCGTTAGTTTTTCAATTAACGCGCCGCGTTGTACTCGTTACGCGGCGAACAACGAAAAACAATTAACAAGGGGATTGACGAAAAAAACGTACCGAAAAATATTAAGATTTTCTCGCGCGCGCGACGACAACAACAATAATAATAATTGTTGCGGCGTACACATTATGTCGTGCGGCGTGACGCACGCGTATGCTGTTCGCGTCAACGTCAGCGACAACCCGGGTAAAACCGCAGGCACTCGACTCTCCCGGAAAACACCTCCGGGGAAACCGTTTAAACAAGAAAAACTCATTATTTCTGAACGCAATATATCGTATAAATAGAAAGCCGCGTAGCCGGGGCGCGGTAAGTGCCGCGCGCGACCGACACCCGTCTGACGCGTTTTGAGGATAACTTATGACACGTTACCGGGACTGTATAGTAATACGATTTCAAATCATAATTAATTAATATTTCTATTATTAATACGATACCGAAGAGGGAAATTATTATAACCCCCTCGGTTCAAAACGTTCATTAATCATAATTTCGTACCGACGTTATGATCACACTGTAATACAGTGTGTACATATTACGTTTTAATTCGTGTGCGTATGTGCGGGTTTTTTTTTTTTTATTTATTTTTTTTTCAATTTAACGGATGAAAAATACTGGCGGACAAATACGGTCATAGCGGATATCCATGTATTGTTTTTAAACGAAAATTGTCGCAGACCAAACGCAATTTCGTTTACAGTTTTTCGTACACGAGTAAATTCCGATTTCACGGAAGTTCGTTCGAAACATTTTTTCTATACACCGTAAAAGCCGCATTTTATAAATTGGTTTTCGCGGGTTTCGCGACCGTTATAGCTTTCGAAACGATTGCGAAACACTATCCCGTTTCTCCGTTATCGCAAATACCCGTCCGTTTTACCATATCGTAACCATTGTGCGGCGTTTGAAAGGGTTAGTCCATCGGGTCTAAATTTACACAGACTCTTCGTTCAATACCAAATAATAAGTATGCGCGAATTAAACTGGTTGGACCACGCTAATAGCCCCCCTCCCCCCGTATATCCAACAGTTCATTTTATTTCCGAGATACGAGTATATATAGAAATTGTTGTATTTTCTCTGATTACAAATGGTTAAAAATGTATGCAAATTGCATTACAAAAAAAAATTAACGTTTCACTTTTGTATTATCGAAATAATTGAATTGCATTTTTTAATTATGTCGAATTGACCGCTTTTCGAAAACCGTTATATTTATAATGTATACTATACATAAGTATGTATAATATATATAATAATTCATAATACGATTACGTTTTTGGATATAATTATTTTTTTAATCGTCAAGTGTTATATTATTTGATGTTAAATACTATTATGAAAACAACTCGAACTCGGTGAACGGCAAATATTTTAATTGAAATCTACTTGAAAAATAATGGGATATTTAAAATGTGTATAAAAAAAAATTTGATTATATTATAATTGTGATGAATCAGTACGTCGTTTACAGCGTTAGGACGTGTACATGTTTTAATTCCAAATTTGATATTTTTTTTTTTTTAAGTAATATTTATGTATTTTTTAAAAATAAATTTTAAATATAATACAGAACATCGAGAATAATATAATTGCACAAATTCATATACATTAAGGATTATGTTATTTATAGTATTTAGTGTACAATTACAATAAAATGTATTCATGTTTGTTGGTTTTTTTTTCTTTATTATTTTTCGAATAAGAAAAAAAATTGGGCAGTCTTTATTAGAAAGTTTACAGAATTCAATTCTCATTATATTTCTCATAATGATCGTTCGATTAACTGTAAACGATAATATAACTATTATTAAGTTTTTTTTAATTGCTATTGTATAAAACAAGAGACGTTATACATTGTATTAACACGACGTAATTGCATATAAAAAAATGTTGTAATTATTTTCCATATCGCGTTAAATAATATAAAAACGTTTTACGTAAAACACCGTCGCCGTAATTGCAGCTAAACTCCGACAAGAATTGTGTTACCGGAGCACAATATTACACTTTTTTTGTTTCTTTCCCGAATCAATGATTAACGGTTTTAATTTTGTCGTTTGTTTCCGTTTCGATATCGCGCTTTAATAATGGCGACAGTTAATTTGTAAGAAACATTGTCAAAGACGGATTTTTTTTTTCATTTTAAGATTTTTTTTCTTTTTTTTAATTGAATAAAATTCTGCGAAATAACAACGTCGACTCACTCCCTCGCCCTACCGCCGGTTTCTTTTCGCCACTCGAAACGTTCAACCGGAAAACGTCAACGCGCTCGACAAAATACAAATAAAATAATTGGCACCGTACAATTTAATAACCAAATTTTATTTGGAAAAATAAAATAATATCCAGCATTTTTTCGTTGTTATGCTGTACGCCAAAGCGGGTTCAAGAAAAATAATTTTTTTTTCTTTTTACATCCGCGAAATTTCAAAATCAAAAATCAATACTAAAATAATACACTAATAAAACAGTTCTTTTAATCACATCGTATTCCCTTTGTATTTGTTTTAAACATTTTTAACCTCCAATACCCCTCGAAAAAACATATTTTATTCGTATGAAATCTTTTTTCTTTTTTTTTTTTTCATAATATTATAATGCATTTGTTTTACTGTTTTATAACTAAGTTAATCGTATTACACGAATAGTGAGCACCTAATATTTAAGAAATCGGGGATAAAGTTCTCAGGCTATGATTGTCCAAACGCAATTCTTGTTAAATTAAAAATATATAATCAAGGATTGAGTAGGGACATCAACGCTTGAAACAATTTCACCACGAGATTCGATCGATCGTCAGACAGGACCGGCGCACCGGATAGGCGATATCGGTACGCACATGCATTCGATTTTGTAATATATTATAATATTTTTTTGTTTATAAATGTTTTTTATTTTATTTTTTTTATAAGTTCATTATTATCTATTAGTATTGTATAAGTTTATCGGTTCTGTCAAACCGTTTTTATTAAGTCAATCATTTTTTTTTTTTTCTAAGTTCTATATAATGTTTAATTTTATTATTGTAAAAAAATATAGTTTTGTATGATATAATTTTGTACCCCTATTACTAAATTAAAGTATACAAATAATTACACCCCGTCGGTGAATTTTAAATGATATTCATATGTACACGTCGGATGATTTTCGGAGGGGGAGGAATAATTGTAACCAAGTGGAGACTTGGAGAAACACGTGTTTAAAGAATAATATACTGAATATAAAAACTCAAGAGCTGTAAAATAGGTTATAGATTTATAATATATTCATTATAATAGATAATGAATCAACAATCATCCAGGCTTCGCATTAAGGCTCAAGAAAAACAATGTTTTTGGTGGGTTTTCCAAGTACGTTTTCTCCTCCCTCCTTTCACAAATACGTAGTCATGATAATATTTAGTATTTTCCATTCACTGAATTATTAAATTTTGAAATAGGAAAAATGTTATTCGAATACTTTTTTCTAAGGGAATTGCTAAATAATTATAAACTATCGCTGGCGTTGAATAAACAGTTTTTTCATTTACTTCAGTACAATATTTTTATTTCGTATAATTTTAAAATTTCTCTATACTAGTTATAAGTATTAAAGAAATTATAATAAATAATTTTCCTAAAGAATTTGAAAAAAAAAATAGTTAGAAACTTCAAACTTTGTTGAAAATCATAGGTAATTCAGTTTAATTTTAGATTTATATTTTTTTCGTATAATTTTATAGGATTTCATTAATTTTTTTTTTTTGGATTTTGAACGTAACTAAAAACAACATTGATTTTTTAAACCAAACATTTAATTTTTGAATTATTTTTTTTTTATTAAACAAATTTAAAAAAATAACTTCTTATTTATTATTTTCGAAAAATTTCAAGATGTGAAATCTATATAGTTTATTTTTCTGAACAAATTTATGAATCACACATTTCAATCCAATGAATAGTTTTTATATGACAGCCATTTTAAATTCTAGTAATCCGTGAGAAAACCAATGTTATTGCGGTTATGATATTCTCTAGCTAACATCAGTTTTCACACAGATTACTAAAATATAAAATGGTTGTTACTTGTTGGTAGTATAGCAGTATAGCTATGGTATTACGCTCCGACCGATATCGCCGCGCTTTTTTTTTCCATCAAAAAGACGCAATTTATTTTCTCGTCTACGGTCTCGTTTGAAAAACAAATCGTAATCACCGGGTTCCCGTTTATTTATAGTTATTGTTCATTACTATAATTATTATTGTTATTATTATTATTATTATTATTATGATTATGATCGTCTTCTTATCTGACCCGTCGTACTATACTAGAGAACCGTCAAATAAAAAGAGAAAAAAAAATCACCTAGACCTAACAATAAGGAAAACAAAAAATCTTTAATTGAGAGAAATTATTAAGATAACGAATACGGAACTATGAACGAGATAAGGATAATATTACAATGAATTTTGCTAAAACCACATTCGCGTTACCGATTGTAATTCCAGTTTTTTTTCTTTAAGATGAAGTCGGCTTTTGTCTATCGCAAACATCTCTCCTCCAAACGAGATTTGGTTAAGAACCGCGACGAGATTACGAGTAAATACGCGGAACTGTCCCTCCCGGTCCGAAACTCTTCGAAATTATTATAATATGATATTGTAGTAATAATAGTATCGAAAACCCTTTTCCCCGTCATCGTATCCCCGAAATTCCGTAAAACGACCGACCTTTTTTCCTCCCCTTCAAATTTATTCGTTTTAATTTTACTTTCGACCACGCGTATTCCGGTCACATCACGACCGCGGCAATTCGGTCGCGGCCTCTGCGACATTCGGCGGTGGTTTCGTTTTATTGTGTTTATAATACCCGCGGGCCAATGACCCACCAGCCCCTGCTTGCGTTTTACCTATTTTTCGTCCCTCACGCCGTGCCGTTTTTCTCCGCAAAGGTCCCGGCGTACGGGCGATTAAAATATTTCATACATCGCGAAAACTTTTTATATTAAAATGTGTACATATATATTTACGTAAACAGCGCTTGCTTGCCCGTAGGCAACGCACTGTAAAACCTTTATATTAGTGTACATGTGTATTTGAATTGCGGAGTTTACAACGGTTTGCGAAATACCGGCCAAAACCTTTAAACTGCGGTCGTTTCCATAGGTACTGCTGAGAACGTCCGTGAACATAGCCGGCACCGCCGAATCGCACTTCGGACTTGAAACCGACGCCGGTATTTCACCGGGAAAATATCTCCTTTATTTTTCTGAGAAACTGAACGATATGAATATTTTAACAATAAAAAATTTCACTTTACGGCATTTTGCAGTGACGAAAGTATTTGAAGCCGGAAGCACGACCAGGCGGTGCCGAACACACGGAACGCTGCTGCGAATGCTGTTGTGCAATGGCGATCGCGAGTCGGAACGCTTAATCTAAAATAAATAATATCATTGTACAGATTATGTTTGCATTCGCGCTTGATTTTGCGAAAAACCGTACCGTCTATTCATATTTTGTGTACCTATTATTGTTTTCTATTCCTGTCATAAATATAATGTTCCGGAATTTAATGCACTTTTTTTTTCGGCGGGTAATCCACGAGATTACTGTCCGAGTACCTGCATTATTCGCTCCGTGTAACAAATTATTCATAAGTAAAATGTTCGTTTTGCTTTTTTCGTTCGTTTTGTTAGTTTTAGTGAATATTACATTGTTATACGTTAATAGTTTAAATTTAAACATCTAAATCAAAATACCACCTCAAAAAATGTTCATGAAATTTGTATAAATACATTCTAGGTACACTCTAGATCAGTATGGATTGATAATCTTACGATTTCGATAACATATTAAAATCTTAGATTATACAAACATCTGTTAAACGGCTATTTATTTTGTATTTATTCGCAGTTTTTTTTCCATTTTTAAAGTAATTTTTAGCGTTTTCGGGTCACTTCGGATTAATGCTATAAGGCTTTTTTTAGGTCCGTTTTAGATTTTTTATTTTTACAGAAAAATTTCAGAAAATTTTTAGGGCATTTCAATACAAGAACCGACTATAGAACATTAATATTATAGCAATGGTATAAAACCGAATTCATTGAATACAGTGTATAAATACAAATGTAAATGTAGTGTAATGGAGTAAATACATCTACGATAGTAAATTAATCGAACGTAATATTTCAAAACGGTTAAAAATAAATTCTTTATTAAATAATTATTAAAATTGCATACAACTAATAAAATGTGCTTTTATAAACTAAAAAAATCGCTTGAATATGTTTTAATAAAAAAATATGTGAGATACTGTAATTATACAGTAGATTAATATAATATTATATTAATCTACTTAATATTATAGTTCATAATCAAATTTTTAATATTTTTTTTTTTTAATACATTGTAATTATATACGATGAACATAAGAAATAGGAGTACATGTAACAATTTCAATTAATTTTACACATTTTTCATTCATTTTAATATCAAATAACCCTTTGGATGTGAACACGGTAAATTTACCGGAGATTGTAAATTCATGCCAATTTTACTAATGTTTTTTAACTATTTTTTTTTTTGTAACATAAAAATTATTACAACCCCACAAAAAAAAAAAAATTATTTCAGGCTATGGTACTAGCTAAGGTACACCTATAATGGAATAATGGAATACATTTTGATAAAAAATTTAATTTAATTTCTAATAAATTTCAATAAATTAATTTAAATTGTAATAAAAAACCATCTGTAGACCAAAAACACGTTTACATGTTCCTATAAAAAGGCTGTGTCCAAACGTCCAAAATGTGTATTGTGTGGGGGTATGTGAGTACATCACGAGGGAAAAAGAATAGGGCGGTAATTAGCGTTGATTTAAGAAACAAAATACGAAGTACCCGGGCAGGTCGAAATGTTTGCCAATAGGAAACTCTTTGCACGTATTAATTGAACTAAAAACAGCGAGTTCCCGGAAGGCGTCGACGTAACGAATCGGTTCCTTCGATCGTCTACACTGCCAAGCAATGTGATTTAACGTTAATTTAAACTTCGTATGATATATATTGAAGTAGGTACTCATATATTTATTTCATTTCTCAAAACCTCACTTTGAGTTACATTTGTTTTATACAAATCGAAACAATTTGTTTGTATTATAGGAATTCGTATAGTAATAGAATAAGAAGAAGTTTAAAAAAGTCGTATCGCTTTTTAATGCTACTGTAATCAAATATTTTTTGGCTTCAAACCATTAAACTATTTTTGTGATGACCGAGACCGACAAGAATAATTTTATGACGTTGGTGCTGTAATCACGCGTATTCCTGTGATTATGAGACGAACGCCTGCAGTATTTGAGATTAAACGAAAACGTAATTCTTGAGATTATAATACTTGTACCGTAAAATATTTCACCATTTTTTTTTTCTATACACTTTAACTTTACATTGTGTTGAATGTTTGTAACAAAACGGCGATAAAATATTTTAAGCCATTTCAATATTTGTGAACCGAGTCGTAATTTTTTCTAAAAAAATTCAGTAACATAATTCGGTACATACTATTTTCAATCAGTGCCACACATCATGAGTAAAAAATCTGCATTTGATTTCTGATTATTTGCTGTACAAATGAAACGTTACACGTTCTCTTGGGTAAAAAAAAAATATAACAAATATGCATATTGTATATTTTATTATGTAATACAAACACGTCGTTATAAAATGAATATTTTTCTCGGTTCGTTTGCGATTTGAAATTATTAGTTGAAATGAGACG